GCATCGGAACAAAGTCCTTCAACAACGCTTGTCGGACTTGGTGAATAATTCGAGAAACTGATCTCTTGTCTTTGAGAGAGCAAAGGGTAGCGAGCAATCTGTTAGGTAAGCCTTGACGCATTTTGCAAAGAAGTACGGCAAGAGCAACACGAATTGAACCAGCATAAGAGTGGCGGAAAGTCGGTATCTGATCGACTAGATTTTCAAAGTCCACTTTAAAAAATTCAAAAAGAACTACAGATTAAAAATATTTTATAAAAGACACCTTTATGAAGACCGGTAATGTTGAAGTAGGCTTCATCATCCAAAGAAGAAGGATTGTCGAAATCCAACGACTTTGATGGGTGGTAGAGAGCGGTAAGTTTCTAAATGAGATAAAACGGTACCTTTGCCTTCTTTTATCGTTTCGTATGTGTCACCTTTTCGAGTGAATGGGAAGATCAAGCAATGGCGATTTTTCAACCAAACAATGCAGAATTCGACTATCCCCTTTGTTGCCGATTATCTCAATATTGTTTGTTCTCTCATTAACTGTTACCGAGCTCAGGCAATCAACGATATCCACTCGGGAAAAACGATGGCTAAGGATATGATTAACCAACTACATTCCAAGAATCTTTTGCAAGAACATCTCCGCCAGTTAGACGCGAACAACGAGCTCAAATGGAAGAAGTACGATGCTCAGCATTGCCTCTTCCCACATCTCACTATAGCGCCTATCTCGAATATGAATTTCTTTTTACAGGTTCGTATCAAATATACCAAGCAAAACAATACATCAAAGAGCATCTCAAGCCATCAATACTCGACGAAGAAGAATTCGAATTCCAAGTGCAACTTAGTGCTCATCACTCCGATCTTATTCGAGTTTGCTTTCAATCAAGACATTCGAATGCGAAAAGCTACCAAACAACTATCCAGTTCAATGATCAAGAGGAAAAACCGGTGAAGGGTTGGTACTGTACTTACTGTATCGGTAGTCGTACCATCGGTTGTTGCTCGCACGTTACGGCTGTCCTTTTGCATATGGGTGTCAATCGAGCCGTTGTCAACAAAACGTCTCATCCTCTCTCGACTGATCGACTCCATGACGCAGTTGACGATAGTATGAAGTACTCAGACATCGAAGATAGCAGTGATGAAGATGAAAACGTGTATTACTCTATGGACACGGACAACAGCGACTCAGACTCAGGCGACTCAGTGTCCAGTTAACATGAACTAGTTGCCTTTCCTTTTTCTTGCTGATTATTCTTTCTCTGAGGAGAATGATGACAGGCGTTAGACCCACTTTAATACCGAGATACCGCAAGAATGCAATCTCAAAATATCGATCTCTTTTATGTTTGCACATGTTTCAGCCTGATACACGAGCGACGTATTTGACGCTTGATTGAGGGGAAAGCGAGTAAATGTCAAGATTAGCCTTGTTCTAGGTAACAGAGATTATTCTTATCCAAACAAAATTATTCTGAATGAAATGAGTACAGAAAATGTTAGCAAAGTGAGTATTTCACATTATTGTTGAGCACTACTTTTTTGTATTTTGCATTTTTGATCTGCGGGCCATCTCGCTTTTGAGACTATGAATAGTGCGTTTTGTAGAGCGAATGAAGGGCTACAAAATGGCATATAAGAGAATTCCGGGGTTAGTCAGAAACGATAGGAAAAATCTTCAAATAGTTCGTGAATGCATCTAGAATATAGATTGTTATTGATTTTCTGGAGAGAAAGAATAAGAAAAGGATGATTCGTTCGATCATTGATATGACTTTGAAAACGGAGAAATGGTGTCAGAAGATGCAGTTTGAAATGCTCTTTCTCATGGTACCTTATGCTAATGACAATACTTCAAAAAGCATGCCATTAAGTCGAAATTACTTGATGGTACAGAATCGAGTGTCCGTCAATTACAGTCATGTCCAGTATTTGGCCTGAAAGTCGACCAAAAATCAATCTTTTTGAACTTTCAATTAGTGCAAAAGAATCAGCGAAAAATCTGCATTGAATCATACATATGGCTAACTAGTCTGGAGAAATCAAAAAAGTGGCCCAAAACGTGGTCTTCGACGCCCCCCTCCTTTCGGCACTTGTGTAAAAAATTTTAACATCGATAAATAGCCCATTAATCATAGTATATCTTGAGCTATTTGAACATCAAAAAAGCGCACTTTCAATTTTTCACCTAATGTCCACATGGTTGCCCACTGTGATTCGGAAGCTTTATTAATTCTGCTTGTCTGTCATGAACTGAGATGCTAGTAACCCCTACCATTTCGTCTGTCTGTCTGTCACGGTCTGTGAGAGGGGTCCAGTTTTCTCCTTCTATACTTCAACACTCTTTAACTTTCGTGTTTCACAAAAAATGATAGCGGCTAAAAAATCTTTGCTTTTAGGTACCGGCAAATCAGATATCATGAGTAAATTGTCGATACGTATGGGTATCAGTATGGTTGCACCTCCACTTGCTGCTGGCGAACTGAATCGACCGTTGGTCGGTGAATCCGAACGTATTATTTCGGATATTTGTATGCGTTGTCACAGAATACCGTATTTGATGTGTTGTGTATCGATCGATGAAATTGATTCACTTGCACCGAAACGTAAAGATGATACCAGTGATGGCAATGTGGCGAAGCTCAGTGTTCTATTGTCAGTTATTGAAGGAATTAAAGATGTACCCAATTTGATGATATTCTGTGCAACGAATCGTTTGCATATGATGGACGATGCATTTCTACGACGTATGTCCGGCAAATTCTTTGTCGGACGACCTTCATCCCATGCCAGAAGGATTATTTTGAGTGGCATGAAACCTTGGCATATGCCACCGCATTTACTCGATAGTTTAACTACGGCGACCACCAATTTTAGTGGATCGGCACTCAGGTTAGTGATAACTGGAAATAAGTCTTGAGAGAAAACAACTAACTCGAAATCAGAATCCGTGAAATAAGAAAAGTAAAAGAAAACCGGATCTCGAGTTCAAATCTTTAGAAGGGTGCGTTGCAAATACACAGACGCTTAATTGATTATCCGAGGATAATCAATAATAATGCATTTCGATTATAGTGCAGTGATTCACTGTACGTTGAAAGCTTGCATCTCAACGGATGATTTTTCGATCAAGATCGGATTTTTTATTCAAAATTTTGTCATGGATAGAGAAAAAATATCAAGTCGGCCCCAGTCGGGATATATTCTATTTAAATCGACAAGTAGACAGTTAGGAAAAATCTTTCCATAAGACATTCAGGTCAACGACCTGTTCCGTTTACATATATCCCCTGTAAAGATATCTCATTTTCAAGTAATGAATTGTCTTTTGCAACAGAGCTCTTCGCCGTCTCATCACGATACACTGCGTTGACGCCGCACATATCAATCCACAATATCAATTGGATTATCGTACGATGCTTCAGGTAGCCGATATTATCGCGAGACAACATCGTATTTTTCTCGGCGCAGGAACATTATCGGCGATCCTGCTACGCGCTATCAAGGATAATTATCAAGAATCCGAAGCACGATTTAACGATTTACCAAATCAACCAAATTCTGTGTATACAGGCAAGATCCTGATTAATCTCGATGCTGCTCACATTAGTATCGAAGCTTTACATACAGATCCGCTTACTCATGAATGTACGAAAATTGTTGATCAACACGATTTATTCGATTCTGAGACAAACTTACAAGGTTTACTTCAACGTTTGACTATTTATGGTAAATTACGCAATGTTCAACTACTTCAATTGATCGATCTGAATCTCCTATCGACCGAAAGTGCCTATGATGAAAAACAAAAATTTGAAACACTAAAAGAACGATTAGATGAATGTGCTGCATATCGTCGTTCGATGATTGTCTACGATTTGGATTCATTAGTCGGTATTAATCGAAGTGAAGGCAATGCTTCAACCGGTCGAACAACAAATCTATCATTGATCAATCACAATATTTACACTCATATAAAAGATAGATTTCAAAATGCTCATGTTGAATCAGGATCGATTTCTGAAAATAATGATACTATCGATACGGATGAGAAATGGTCTGTTATCGTTATACGTGAACCATTTTTGTTACGTCAATTTTATGACGATATTAAATTTACACGTCCGGAAAACGAAATTCAAGAAGAAGAAGCTGAACTTCGTCTTGTTAATGAACGAAATAAATGTGTTCAATGTAATGATTTTTACACTGAAAAAGATAATCGAATGGGTGTTTGTATACATCATGATGGATTTGTCTATGATAATCATTGTCAGAAATTGACTAAATGGACTCGACGAGCGGCAATTGAACAATTATTGAAAGAAGACGCTGAAGTCAATCAACCACGGGCACATGTTATACAAACACCGGAAGAAAAGGAACGACTGGAACGTCGAAAGCAACGTTACAAATTTATTTGTTGTGATCAGACATTACAGATCGGAGGCATGGCGGCCGGTTGCAAAAAAGGCAAACATAGTCTTCCACATACAACGCATATCGAATGGGAAAATGCTTGTGATGAGAATACAGATTATCGAGCTAAACTATCGAGTTTACTTCAGAGTAGAACTCGATAATTATTGATGGATGGGCTTTTTTTCTTTTCTTGATTAATTAAATTTATTCATTCGAGAGTTTTTATCTCAATTAACTCTTAGGGTAATCAAAAAAAAGATCTAAATATCTCTCTTCTCGTTCTGTTATATTCCTGCTTTTAAATACTGAAATAATAATAATAATCTAAAAAACTGAAAATATCTCATGCAGATATCTTACGATAACAGAAGCTTGCACTCCGAGGGTGATAGGTGCGTTTGGTTCATACTGTCACGGTTATCCCTGAAAAGAATCTTTTTTATGGAAGTCGCCTGCTCTCTTGGGTGTAGATAGCAATCGATTTCTTATACATTAACTCTCATTGATATGGGGAAGAGTTAATGAGAGGATAGACCTGCGCGGAGGGGCTGAACATGACCGTATATTTTTCACTGGGTGGGCGAAAGTAACATGTCCTTACCCTCCATCAAGTTTTCAGTGGGTTTGGGTCTCGTCATAATCTATACTCTCACCCTCACCCTCACGAGCATTTCATCTTCGTCTTTTTAATCAAGAAGAATTTCTAAGAAAGATTTATCATAGAATGACCTTGATCGTTATTCATTTGATCTTGAAAACCAGTGAAACGAAAGAAATAATTCTTATCATTGTTTCATTTGTCATATGACTTTTTCCTATAAGACTCTAGCTTTCTTTCCAGCAACAAAAATCCAATGGAATCCATTCTTGGCATTATCAATGACAAGTCTATCCGAATATCAAGATATCCTTCTCTATATCGGCATTGACGAATACTTTTATCATTTTTCTTTAATTACAGGCGATCTATTTTTTTTACAATAGTCAACTTATTCCGTCTTCACTCCCATTTAGTTTCCGAAAAATGAATACACAAATCCAGTACAATATTCAGCAGATCGTGAATATGCATTTTTTCGATTTGTCTCGTGATGTACCACGAGGGAAAATGATGAAGACAGGAGGAAAAAATGATCGGGAGCCCGAAAAATGCATACAGGTATCCGTTAATATATTTATATGCGTTATCGCTCATTTCTTGTACAGGTTCGAATCTCATTAAGAAAAATGAATGTATCATAACATGAGGACACCTCAATCGTGACGTGCACATCGTATTTTTCATTAGGCGACAAAGTAGTTAGAGAATGGTCGACGATGAATTCGATCAAGTACCTCAAATTTTATTTGATGGTATAGATTCTCTCAGTAATATTTGGCTCCCCCGGAACTCTTATTCCAATAACAGAAGACACGTGCTGTTCTATGCAGTGAAGATATCAACAATGTGATCATTGTGGCTTCTCGACTTGGGTATGGTCGATGTTTAGTATTTGCGCACAACGGCTATACAGAGATTTTCCTTAATGATGAAACAGAAGATCAAGATTTTGTTGAAAATTGTCGAAAATGGCTTCGAGGACATGATGCCGAATTCGTATTGATCAACGATACAGATTCAATGCATGATGTAACACAAGATGGTACAATACTCATATGGGATGGTCATTACACAAAGAATGATGCTTTTATGAGTGATTTGGTTAATATGATTGTTTCTTTTATTATTGATCTCTTGAAAATCTTTGTATTGTTATAGTATGCATATATACAACATGGAGGTGCACTGATTTGTGGAACAACTGCCTGGAATTGACTAGAGGAAAACGATGGCAAACTTCTCTCGGATTTTTCATTTGCACGTTTCTGTGACTAAAAATAAATTCGTCTTCTAGACATGACCTTTGTTTGATTCAAGACGATGCGTTATTAGAATATTTTCTTCTCGAATTAATCGAAATTGAACATGCCAATATTCTGAAACGTCTGTATTCAAAATCAACAACAAATGAACCGATTGAACAAGGGAGTCAATTGCCGAAAGTGATCGATGAAATCGAACAATGTATCTATTGTATGTATGGACTTGTTTTATGGAAATCGAAATTGAAATATTTGATTGATCACAACTGTCGACCGCTGTGAAACAACGACTAAAAGAAGAAACACCGAGTTTTCCAGGAGAAAAGATGAAGTTCTTCTGAAGAAACACCGAGTATTCCAGGAGAAAAGATGAAGTTCTACTGAAGAAACACCGAGTTTTCCAGGAGAAAAGATGAAGTTCTTCTGAAGAAAGACCGAGTTTTCCAGGAGAAAAGATGAAGTTCTACTGAAGAAACACCGAGTTTTCTATTGACTTGTTTTATGGAAATCGAAATTGAAATATTTGATTGATCACAACTGTCGACCGCTGTGAAACAACGACTAGTTCCAGCTCTCATAGCACAAAGCAAGTATTGTCTTCTATGCTCTCCAGCCTAAACAATTGCTTGGTTATGAAGGTCGAATTTGTACGATTAACAATGAGGTCTTTTTTTAAATTAAAAAAAATGTTTAGCAGAAATTCGACTTTTTAGATTGAGAGTCTCTTTCAAGGTTTCGAATCGATAATTGAATGGAATGACGAAAGTGAAGGATTATGTCAACATTTCCTATCTCACATTGTCCATACGGCGACGATCGATTGTTGTCTTCAGCCCGTCAACGAGTTGATGCACATGTCCTATCGATCATTTCGATCGAATAATGCGTGAGTCAATCAACTATGAAATTTATCCATATTTCTGGTCGTGAATTTAGTTTATTCGAAAAAGACTTCTACCATCTCTTTGCGGATTATATAAGGTCATATGAAATATAAGGTCATATGAAATAAATGTCGGCGTCGGCGTCCGCATAGTGCAAAAATGCGATAACTAATAGAGGGTAAGGGTCTCCGTCATGAAAATGGTACAGTGTAGGTAACCGACCATGGCGAGTCAAAAGATGGCTATGAGCGACCTCTAGGACCAATCCTTTTGGTCGATTTGTTTTTTTAGCTAGATGGGCTGAAAATGGTATGGCGGGGATTATCAAGCACGGTGAATCAGAAAAACCGCTATGAGCGACCTTTCGGAGCAATCCTATTGGTCAACATTTGCTTTTACACTGTTTTTTAATGCAGAGGTTTTCTGAAGTTCTCCTGAAGACCCTCTGGAGACGTCGTGCATACGCCCATCGGATGCGCCATGGTCGATTACCAGAATGATCGCAATCAGAATGATCGCAAATGCTTCCATGTTCACTTCTCAACACTTCCCACTCTCTAAAATTCCTTCTGCTGTCTTTCAAACACAAATTACTGTTCGTTTTTCGCCACCAGTTCAACAAAAGCGATTTACATTTTTCCGCAGTTTTATCG